CAATAATGGTGATAAGTGTTTCAAAATTATTTATAGGAGGCTAGGCTAGATATCGCTCCAATCTATGTAAACATAAGGGAAGGGAAACTGAATGCAGTCTTACTGGTACGATAATTTGACATCTAGTAACTCTTCAAATTGTACACCCTAATTTTAAATAGAGATGTAAAGAATACAAAATGAGAAGAATTAAATGAACTCTACCAATACTCTGTACAACATATTAGGATTTTTTAACATCTTTTTTAAAAAAATGAGTTTAAATAAACTGTAATGAGAGATCTATTTATATTTTTAAGAGGATTATTAAACACAGTTCGTCCTTACATTGGCTTCCCAAATATGCATTCCTTTATAAAAAGCTGGTTTATTGTATGCAATTATTTTTATTAAATCCCAATCATCTAAAAACTTATTTCACCCGACTCTAAACAATGTGAAATGAATCGGTTTCTTCGATTTGAATTAAATCCTAGGAGTCCTAGGAGTTCATCTATAATTTAGCAAATAGCAATGTTACAGACTTGCATATTCATAATTTTTCATTTAAAAATCATATGCCGACAAAAAATAAGAATAAAAGAGAAAAAAGGAAAAAATTATGTTTTTTAGGTCAAATTGTAATTGAAAGTCACAGTTCCATGGGATAAGGACCAAAACTTTACCTCAGCGTGATTTATGCAGTTTCATGTTAATTTAAAACCTGCACCTTAACACAAGAATGTCATTTACTCTCAGAAAAATTAGAATCCATGAGAATTTTTCCGAGATTGATGCAGTCTTTCTTGGGACCATTGGTTAATAACAATACAGATAGAACACTAGATGGCATCTTTTCAAGATTTAGGCATGCCGAGTCCATTATGTGCCTGATCCAATCAGGGATATTTGTTTGCTGTCTATTCTGAACCAATAGAAATAGTATGGCGGTAACATTATCTTTCTATCTATCTCTTTATCCAATTAGAGCTATGACTCCTACAATCGGCGCTATCAGTAAATGGAAATATTTACTTCTAATGAAACTATAATGTAGGTGTTTTTGGTTCATAGAGTTCACAATAACCCTGAGGCAAACGCCCAAAGAAGTAATGCGCATGCGGCGTAGAACAGGCTCTCTCTCTGTCGTGTAATTCTACGCAGAATGCACGTGACTCCTTTTTGGCGTTTCTGCCTCATGGTTATTTTAAACGAAAAACCCCTAAAGCTTGAAAAGACGACATCTAGTGTTCTATCTGTGTTGTTATTAATCTGTGTTCGAGACAATGGAAGATATGCCGGAACCTTTCATTTTAAATCCGTTTTGCACAATCAATTCCTTCTGTTTTCTATTCATGGTTTTTTTAAATCTTCACATTTTTTCGAGATGTTTTCGAATTTATGTGTTTCGGAAATCTCTTTAGTCAAAGTAGCGGAATAACAAAATCTCATCTGTCTTTTGTAGTGTTGTAGTGTTGTAGTTCTGTAGTTTTGTAGTTTTTTAGTTTTGTAGTTTTGTAGTGTTATAGTTTTGTAGTGTTGTAGTTTTGTAGTGTTGTAGTGTTGTAGTGTTGTAGTGTTGTAGTGTTGTAGTTTTGTAGTGTTGTAGTTTTGTAGTTTTGTAGTTTTGTAGTGTTGTAGTGTTGTAGTGTTGTAGTGTTGTAGTGTTGTAGTGTTGTAGTGTTGTAGTTTTGTAGTTTTGTAGTTTTGTAGTTTTGTAGTTTTGTAGTGTTGTATTGAAAAAACCAAAAAACAATGTTTTGGAAATGTCTGGATTAGGGGTGTAATAATCACTTTGATAATATACAGGGTGTCCAATAAACATGGAAATTGAGAGACAATTCGACTCTGTAAATGATTTTCATTTAGTATAGTGAACAAAAATATATGAAAAGCTATGTATTTTTGTATTCAATAAAATGAGAAAATATCTGTATGTATACAATCAAAATCAATTTCACAAGTGATCTTTTAGAATAAAATAAAAACATTTTACCGTTTACTGTACTGTAGCAAACGTAACTATATTATAATGAAAAAATTGTATCAGTTACAATGTCAGAGACCGTCTTCAAGTCGTCTCTCAATTTTCGTGTTTATTGAGACACCCTGTAGATAATATTTATTTCATTGTATGGTTTATAGGAGGTTTTCAGTGCAAACATGCTCTTCCAGGATTCAAACAAAGATAATATAGTCCGAATATTATCTGTTTATCCTGCACCTGATCATACTATGTTGTAATCAAGTGTAGACTATCTCAAGGCATCTAATGGATCAAGCAGTGTTTATTCTATTTTCAGGTAGAGATGAGGGCGTTCATTTTATTTTCAGGTAGAGATGGGCGCACTAATTCTATTTTCAGGTAGAGATGGGCGCGTTAATTCTATTTTCAGGTAGAGATGTGGACGTTCATTCTATTTTCAGGTAGAGATGTGGACGTTCATTCTATTTTCAGGTAGAGATGTGGATGTTCATTCTATTTTCAGGTAGAGATGGGCGCGTTTATTCTATTTTCAGGTAGAGATTGGCGCGTTCATTCTATTTTCAGGTAGAGATGGACGTGTTCATTCTATTTTAAGGTAGAGATGAGGACGTTTATTTTATTTTCAGGTAGAGATGGGCGTGTTCATTCTATTTTCAGGGAGAGATGGACGCGTTAATTCTATTTTCAGGTAAAGATGGGCGTTCAATCTATTTTCAGGTATAGATAGGTACGTTCGGCTTTTTTTCAATACATTCGTTCATCCCTTGTTCACGTTTGTTTGTGTTTTTTTTTCAGTCGATCAGTAAAAAACTAATTAGCTTGTTCTCGAAATTACGGTTCATTTTCCAGCTCTTTTTTTGAGTTTCTGACTGAACGTGTATTCTTTAACCGTTCGACTTATCAATAAATCGTTCGTTTTTGTTCTTTTTCTTCAATTTTGAAAAAATATCGTTTTTAATTTCATAACGATACAATATGTTCATTCATTGTTCATAATTATTTTTTAACGACACCATCGTTCACAAACAATTTTGTTCGTTAACTAAAACGATTAATTTTATGAACGATACAATATGTTCATTCATAGTTCTTAAAGGGAGTGTTCGCGAAAAATGAAAGGGGGTATAGGCTTAATGCGATAAAAAAGCGCTTTTCATCGCTACTAATCTTACTTCTATCTGTTGCGTCTATAAGGAGAAAATTGATAAAGACGTCTCATACCGAAGAGCGTAGCGCCCATACAAATTGAGGAAGTTGGAACATACGACTTAGACCGTAACAAAATCAAATTAATATCAAACAAATCATTCAGATATTACAACCTATAGTCATCGATTATCTTTCGCCACATTTGTATATATTTAATATTTCATACTAGTTTTGATTTTGTTTTTAAAATAATATTTAGCTTACAACTTGTTTTCGAACCTTCCTGGAAAATATGAAACTGTCGTCTTCATTACCAAAAAGCCTCGAAACAGGAATAAACGTTTTTATAAGTAACTCTCAGATCATAACAATTAAAACATATTATGAAAAATCAACTATATATAAATGTGGCGAAAGATAATCGATGACTATAGGTTGTAATATCTGAATGATTTGTTTGAAATTTTCTCAATTTGCATGGACCCCATGTAATTCGGTATGAGACGTCTTTAACAATTTTCTCCTTGTAGACGCAACAGATAGAAGTAAGATTAGTGGCGATCAAACGCGCCTTTTTATCGCATTAAGCCTATACCCCCTTTCATTTTTCGCGAACACTTCCTTTACGTATTTTTTTAACGGCACTATCGTTCACAAAAAATTTCGTTCGTTAACTAAAACGTTACCTATCTCTATGTTCAGGAATATTTCTCATTTATATCCAAGGATTTAATGCAAGGAAAGTTATTTCAGAGGTATACGCATCTTTTGTACTGCAGTGTACTGTCACTGGGCGGTGATGTAAACACAAGACGGATGTCGAAGCCATGACATGGGATCCATTTTTCACATAAATAATCAATGAGATATTCTGGTCATAAGAAAGAAACTATTATGTGAATTATCAAAATTATCAAAATTCAATGCTTTTAACCTCCTCGGATACTAAACGAACACTGAGGCATCTTTTCTTGTTTACAAATTCCGCCCAGAGAGAACTGGTATCAATATGTACGCAGAGTATACGCAACTGCAATTAACTTCCCTTGCATTACATTCTTGTTTATATCTACATCTCAGACTTCATGTTCTCGGTTGTATTGTCAGTAAAGTACTCATCTATTCAGTGTTAATGAAGGAGACTAATGCTAAAAACTGTTCAATTAATCTCAAGCCATCCAAAGAAAATTCTACATGAATTCCATTGTAAACCTCATTGGTTAGAATACAAATTAAATCAACCGCTTTTTTTTAGCAAGAAAAAAGATTTATTTTATTTACGACTTACAGACAGAGATCAGATAGGGGTCATTCTTGACGTGTCATAAAGCTTTTGTATGTTTAAAATATCTACATAATACGCGTCATTTAAAAAAATAATTTCCAGAATGGTGTGATCAAATTTTATTTGTATCACCGGATTTAAGAATACATTTTACATAGATCATATAATTTATCAGACATTGTAAACGGAACACTTATACTTAATAGGTTATGTTAATATATATAAAAAATATTTCTACAAAAATATGTACAAATTACAAAAATCAACTCTCTATAAAGGATGGTTTATAAATTTATATTTCGTTGTCTAAGAGACTTATGTTTAAAATTGATAGAAAATAAAATTTGCTTTGACCTTATAATTCTTTAAAAATTGTAAAAAAAAATGTATAAAAATTGTATATAAATTGAGAATGAATTATTTTTTTACTGCAATGTGGAAAAACCGCAGTTACATGGTTGTATGTTTGCTGCAAAAAAAATACTTTAGGAGATTTCTTTAGTATAACGAGTAGGACTGCTGTTTTTTGTCACTAATACTACAACCAACATACATATGACTTTTTAATGAAAAACAATTTAAATTTGAAAGGAAAATACACCAAAAACATCCTACTTTTTGTAAAGGTGTACTGCACATTCCGAGAGGATTGTAAACAAAACTTGTTTACATTTACTTCAAAAAATTAAGCAAGTTTTTTTAAAAAATAAATAGTTCCTAAACCGGGTGTTTTCCTTGGTAACGTTGTACACTAATAACATCTAGAACCGAATTGAACGAATTGGAGAGGTGGTTGAACTATCTGTAGCCGGTTCAAATCCTGAATCACTGAAGATTCATGAACATTTGAATCGGTGATTCAGGATTGAAACCTTCCGTAGGTAGGTACTAGGTAGTTCAGCAACCTCTCCAAATCATTAAATTTGGTCTCTGGTAACTTAAAATAACTGGTTAACTGTTAGTATAGTTTAAGGGAAAATTAACTAGAAAGCTATTGTTGTATTACTATTTCAAATTGGAATTTTTTTCTAAATCTGCCGCTTTTATGGTTAAATTATGGTTATAGAAACAAAATATTTTAATAAAAGGATTAATGCCCGGAGGTCCAAATTTTTAAACAGCACTGGAGAAGTTGAACTAGCCAAGACTGTTCATTCATAACTTCACAACCAAACGCAATATCACAACACAACATTATAATATCAAAATTATCTGAATAAAGATGTTGACCGTTTTGCAAAATTATCTGAATAAAGATGTTGACCGTTTTGCAAAATTATCTGAATAAAGATGTTGACCGTTTTGCAAAATTATCTGAATAAAGATGTTGACCGTTTTGCAAAATTATCTGAATAAAGATGTTGACCGTTTTGCAAAATTATCTGAATAAAGATGTTGACCGTTTTGCAAAATTATCTGAATAAAGATGTTGACCGTTTTGCAAAATTATCTGAATAAAGATGTNATGGGGAGACAAAAAAGCCCAACCGGGATATGGTTAAAAGTCAAAAATTTCTATGAGAAAGTGTTCCCAACCTTGCAGTGCACCCCCTTTTCCTTAACATTGCACCCCCTATAAATTATCTGTACCCACTGGGCCACTGCTCCCCCAAATATCCAACATTGTTCCCCCTTTTTCTAACCCTGTGAATTTTACATATGAAATAATACTCTCTCTAACTCTGGGCCAAACATCTTAAACTCAGATATGGAAAATAAAACCCAGAGAAAAAATTGTTAATAAGGTTAAAAATAAGATGTAATAAAGAATTTGAGAAATTATTATAAAATGCACAAATCTAGGGGGCATGTACCCCCTGTGCACAGAGTCGCCCCCCCAGTACGCCCCTGCGTACCGTTTTGAATCGGACATGCCAATCTGGAGTTAGTTAAAATTACGTTTTGGGTCCCTTCAATAGAAAACCTCTTCTCTGGTTGGTAGTAGGTGACTCATTTCTCCTCCATTCCCATTGGAGACAAATTCTTGAATTGTGGAGCTTCTTGAATTCTTTCTAGATTCATATTCGACCTTCAGAGATTCCATTTCAATACAGGTTCTTGTATAGTTCACCCTCTCTACACTCTTCCAGTCAAACATTATCCGCTGGAGTTCATATTTCCAGCAGAGTCTAGTTACAAACTCCATTCTTCGTCTTCCTTCTTCTCCATCCCGTCCTGCTCGGCGGGGACCCAGCTTAGCGCCATTCAGGTCAGCCCAGGGGTGCGACCAGCTGTAGTGCGCAATCTGAAAGAGAAGAAAATTATGCTAGTGGACGCTAACTATTTCATTCGTAGTTAAAAAAAATATCCTGAAGTTATTTTCCCGATGTTTTTTTTTATACATTTCTGACTCTGCAATGGGGTCTATATTTCACCTTAAAACTTTATATATATTAAGTAACTAGCTAAACTTCCCGGGGTGGCCTTTGGAAAAAATGTCGAATTAAAAAAAATTGAATAAATTTTTGGCCTGTGTTACCCCTGGGGTACTCAAGGATTTCTTAAAAAATGTTAAGCCAATTTGGTACAGCCTTTCGTTCAGCTATAGCTAACATTTATATATATAGCTATAGCTAACATATATATATATATATGGCTTATTTTATATATAAAAAACCATATGAATAACCAGCAATAACCAATCTTGATAAACAATAGAAAATTTTCTAGAATTATTTTAAGAAGATAAACTTATTAAGGGTGTGAAATTTTTCTGAAACAATTTTACAGAAGCAGAAAAGTATTCTACTAGGAAAATTAAGACATGTTTATAAAATATATTTTTCACAAAAGTCAAAAATGTGCCTCTCATATGGGGGTTAATATTTAAAAAGTCACTAGTATAAGTGAAAATGAAAATTTTGAACCATAATGAAATTTATTTAAAGAAAAATTATATTTTGACCATAATCTGGCCAATTGTTCAATATTGTTCAATTCTGTTTGAACTACGGTTTTCAAGCTGGTTCAATGGATATAAAGATTGTCCAATTTTTCATTTTCGCTAACACTAGTGATTTTTTATCATTAAACCCCATTTGAGGGGCACATTTTTAAATTTGGTGAAAAATGTATTTTATAACATGCCTTAGAATTTCACACCCCTAATATACAAATTTAAATATTTATATTTTCTGTGTTTACAGTTGAAGTGTTTACATAATTGATTTTACATGTATAACATGTTAAATGTGTTATGGTAATTAACTTACAATTTCCTACTAAGATAAAGTACTGTGTAATTTAAGTAAAAATAAAAGTATCATCAAGAAATAATTATTTTTTATTTCATTTAAGACAAAATCGAGTTCTGGATATTAATTTACATAGTTTTTTTTAGTAAGGTTAATTACTGTGTATTTTAAGTAAGGATAAAGAAATTTCAACATATTCATTTTTATTAATATGTTGAAGATTATTTCATTTTTATTGTTTTATTATTTCTACTGTAGAAATGTATCTTCAATAAAAATGTATTGTTTGTATAAACATTTGGTTTGAGTAAAAAAAATTTCATTTTCAATTTTGATTTCTTTCTTTAGATGACTAAGGGGATTTATGCAGAAGAGACAAAGAAGAAAGTTGTCAGATTTCGACACTTTTTGAAAAAGGAAAACGACGATATCATATAAAGTGCTTGGGATCCTTGGGATCCGGATCCGCTGGATTCGCAATATTTACGCCTCCTGTATCCATGGATCCCCGGATCCAAGAAGAAAAATATCAATCAAAATAAGCTAAAACATTTTTGCTCCCAAATCTTAATATTAAGAGATTTATAACTTCATAAAATCTGAATGGTTCATTAAGTTTCAGCATAAGAAAGCAAAAAAAATAAAAAACATTTTGAATATTTTTTATTTGTTTAAAAGTTATTGAATTTTGAATGTTTTTTTCAGGGCGGACCCAGGATCCATATCAAAATTAACTGAATCCTTTTCCCCCAGATCTCCAAAATCACCCCCCCNATTATTAAAATATACACCCATGTTATAACGTATGTTGTAAACTGACCTGGGACAGTACTCCTATTACCCAAAGACCGAGAACCCAAAGGACTCCATTTCTGTGACTCTCCCAAGGGAAGCAACTGTACTCCGGGTAGAAGGAGGGAATGAGCAGGGGGAGCAATGTCAACCCAAGGTTCTCACAGAGAATGAGAAAGTAGAAACTGGTGTGGGAGAGGAAAGAAAATCTTCTTTTTTGGTTTAACAAGTCGTCTTCTTTCAGGTGAATCATAATAATTGAAGACGACAGACCGCTGACTGCGAACCTGACCCAGTTCATAACTTTACTCAGAAAAAGTTTCATCTGGAATTTAGAAGGTCTTAAACACGCTAGAAATCCATCCCGTCCTATCTTTTCCTTAGCTCTAGTTTCAAACATGAACTTGATGGTGAACAGGAAAATAAAATGAACTGCTAGGAAAACCACATATTTATTCAGTCTTAACGGAGATTCTAAAAGAATGAGGCTTCGAATGGCAAATATTCGTGCAACTGTTTGAGCAAGAATACTAATAAAGATTGGAACGGCACGAAGAGGTTTCTCACATGGTCCAACCCCAGGCTTAGTAGATTTCATCAAAGCAACACTCAACGCAAGAAATAGAATTGTTAGCAGCATTTTGCCCAAGGCACGTTCTATGTAGCAGGCATGCAACAGGTCAAACGTTATAAAATTTACAATGCCGGTCACACTTCGTCCCATCAGCTCGGAGGTGCTCCATCTTGTTAAATCAGCAACAAATGGTTTGAGAAGCCAAGTCTGTAAACACAGCTGTACACTACTCTCAAGTCCGTTCTCAACTGACTTGATAAAATTCCAGGTAGAATCACTCTCAGTTATTGGTCCCTTGTGCTCACTTCGCTTCTCAGCAGTGTTGTATTTTACCTTGCGAACCATATGCAAGATCGGCCAAACCAGTTTTATCAGGAAGGCCAAGGACCATATGATCAGCTTAGAGATGATCTTGATCAACAAACTGTTTAAGTTCCATTTGGAACCGGCGTCTTTTATCTTGTTTTCAAGAATGGTCAAACATACTGGATTAGAATGTTTAAATATGATAATTAAATAGAAAAGGCTGGTCAGTGCGATGGTTACAATGGTTACCCAGTAGGCAAAGTCAAACGATGATTTAACATCCATAGATGAATACTTCTCGAAGCATGTTGAGTTCAGATATGTAGATTCAACTGTTGAACTACAAGTCCAGAGTAGTTCTTGATTCATGGAATCATTGGCATGCGCTATTGCGTAGTAGTCAAAAGCGAGGGTTACATCGGAGTAGTAGTCGTAGAGGAACGGTAGATAGGAAAACATGACCAACTCAAAGAAGACTCCAAGAATAACGGAGAATATCTGATAATTTCCCGGAGAATAAAAACTTTTATAGGTTTCTAGAATCCAGGGAAGTAAAGTATCACTGCTTAAAGTTTCCTTGAGACACTCAAGACCACAGTTTCTGTCGTGATGAAGATGCTTCTCTAGCTTTAACAATTCCAACGCAATGGATTTGTCATTGTTCTCGTTTGCCCAGTTGAGAGCAGTTTTACTAAAAGTGCTTCCGTCATTACGCATAGGCCTGTAGTGAACTATGTGGCTAAGCTCGGCAAGATCAGGGGGAGGTGTGGTGTGAGTGCCTTCGTTTAAGAAATGATAAAGGTCACGGAAAAAGTCCAGATTCATTTCTTTACAACAAGCAACAAGATGGGTTTCCAGGAAGGATATCACTTTTCTTCTATAACCAGCAGAAGAATACCCTTGGATGATTTTTCTTATGCCAAAATTCTTCAGAGCTGTAAAATATGTTTTACCTTAAAAAAAATTACAATTAATTTTTCAAATAAAATATTGACGTTCATTTTTTTTAATTTGACCTCATCAAATAATGTTCCTAATACGGAAAAAACTTAAATTTAACTTCAGGGGAAGAAAGTTCCAAACCGTGCTTAAGTTCAAAATTGGACACACAAATGACGATCAAAGTTTTAGTAACTCTTCCTGTGCCAAGAGCAAATATCAATTAAAATACTATTTCCAATATATTATCAAGCACAACGATAAATAAAACTACAAAAAAAACTGAGTGATCGTTCATTTTCGATAAACCCCATACCATTTTCTAAACAATGCAAGGTTTTCCATTTTCGCACATATCACGAAATCGAATCTTGGGACACGTTTTGGGACATAACCAACATCCCTAACAATCCATAATTTAGGAATATTCAACAATTAAGACAAATCGTACTTTCATAATTTACAGAATAGCATGAATCACTGAAAATAGTTTTATCTTCTAAATAATTGTTTTAAAATTGTCTCCACATAATAATTCTAAATAAAGCTAGTACAGATGGTTTTTCAGCTTACTTCATTTTTAATAAATTTTCCCGCAAATTGTGTAAATGCTGGAAAAGTATTGATTCGAATCTATGAAATGTCTCAAAATCGTGACATTTTCAAAAACGTGTTTTGCGCCCATACTTTGCATTTGCTTCAAAAATATGACATGTTCTAAAATCAAATCAAAACTCATCAAAAATTGAAAATTATTTATTTTTAAGGGTTTTGTACTTTAATTTTTTGTAATAAAAATGTGGCTATTCTGAATTAAAGTATAATTCTCGACTTAAATTAAAAAATATTCAGTTAAAAAAAAAATAACTTTACACATTTGACCCAGTCCTGAAACTGGGACAAATCACCGTTGGGAACTTTCTTTCACCGAACTTAAAACATACAATAATATGTTTTCCCCCCACCCGTCAATAGTTATTGATTCTTTACAAAATATCTTACTGGACAAACTTGATCAATATCATATTTTGTCAACGAAGCTAAGAAAAGTATTTTCCCAATTTTTTCGCCCGTAATTAATTTTCAAACTGAACATTGTTCATTAATCAATCTAACATTTTTACATTTACAGTATTTCTAATACCTGAGGTTTTCTTTTGAGGGGAGAGTGGGGTAAAAGTGATAACTGTTTCAACGAAAAGATAATAATTTTTTCATCAACAAATGTATTGTTTAAAAATGTATTACTCACTTGTTCTGTGTGTGATAGCAACTTGAAGAGCAAGATCTGATATAGGATCCGTTAAAGTATTTGAAATCTCATCAAACACCTTTCTTTTATTCTTCAACATCACATCCGCTCCTTTTTCCAGAATCTTCTCTATAATCTGTGCTTCACAGTTGACCACAGCATGATGGAGAAGGGTGTCCCCTGTGTATTTGTCTTGGACGTTGATGTTCTGGTGGGAGAGGTAGTCCAGGAACTTCTCAAGTAGCCTGACGTCCAGGTTGGTGTTGGTAGCTAGGTACAGGGGGGAGTCACCACTATCCCCAGTAGTAGGGTCAGCACCTGACATTAAGTAAGTAACACAGTGAAACTCATAAAATTGTAGGAGATGGAAGACGACCTTTAAGAAATATTGAGTATTTGATAGATCGTTAAAAAGTAAATAGCTTGACAATAGGTCTGTGTACAGTGTACACGGTATGTTTAATGTTTAATTTTTATTGAACTATTTAAAATCATAATTTAAGTCTTTCAGTTGTTTTTCTTTTCACCAAAACAAAATAATATTTTGCCCATTATTAGGATTGTTTGTAGGTTTCTTATTTCTGAATTGTGGAAAATAAAGGATTTATTGTGAAACTAAATGATTGTGTTTATATTTAAAAAAAAACATTTTAGATGATCTAGGGGGAAAAATAAAATTGGACATCAAAATGAAAGGTTTTTTTTTTTATTATTTTTGATACTTTTTACCAGAAAATTAATTAAATTTTCCCTAAAAATTTATTATTTTCCTCATTAAGCAAATGAACCCTAAAAAAACTTTCCCCAAAAATCTTTCATCCCTAACTTATCGAATTAATGATTTCAAAAAATGATAAGAACCTTTACCTTTATTGAGCAGAAGTTGTACAATACTCAAATGAACATCTTGGATGCTTGATGCTTTCTGTAAAAGTATCTGGAGAGGGGTCTGGTCCAGGGTAGGATGTTTCAGAGAGATATCAACGTCAAGCTTTAACAGTTCCAGAGCACTCTGGAGAGATCTTGCTTCCAGGGCCATTAGCAGCGGGGATATTCCATGAGAGTTTAGAATATTTACAGGATGGTTGAACGGAGAGCTTGATATCTTCTTGACACCTTCATGGTGATCTATTCCGGAGAGAACGTGCAAAATGGATCCGTAGTTTCCTTCATCAATTATCATCATTTGTTTTGGTTTTAAATGTTTTAACAGAGAATCTATTGTTGTTTTAGTACAAGGGGACTCCTCAGCTTCTCCATTATTAGAATCCCCCCGGTCAGAGATAGATCTCTTGATATGTCTATTAACCGTATCTTTTCTCTTGATGGTGGTTAGATTATGACTAAGCTGTTTGTAAGCTGCAAGATGAAAGGTAGAGAATGTGGATCCTGATATCTCCTCTGTAGGCTGGAGTACATCAGCTCCATGCCTTACCAGGATATTAATACACTCCTCCTGTTTATAGTAGGCAGCTGTATGGATAGGAAACCATCCAGTTTTATCATTCATACTTGAAATCAGGTTCTTCTGGGAGATTAGAAGCGTATCCACTATTTTATTATGTCCCTCTGCTATGGCTAGATGGATTGGAGAGGATCCGTTCTTTGTTTTAATGGTTGGGTTCGCTCTGCATTGATTAACCAGGATTTCAACTATTTCTCGGTCTCCAGTTTTACAAGCCCAGTGCAACGCAGTCCATCCTGTAAAGTTCAAATTTATTAAAAATATTAATTCCATTTCTCAAAGAAGTAATATATGTTTTTTTTGAGGGGGCGGGGGCGCTTCAAAATTGGGTAAAAATTAGCTTGCAAGATGAAGTCCCTTTTTAGTTTTTTATCCAGAAAACCGTTCATTTTGTACGGGGCCGGAGGAAAAAAGGGGGGAGGAGGTTTAGGAAAACTGAAAGATCTTTATTTTCGCTGAGGGGTGTAAATTTTCTCGAAAAATCATTTTTCTTCCCCCCCCTGAAAATATATTTTTTCCCAGTAGTTCCATAAGCTTGCCCTGGGCGCAAAATTTTTTTTAGTGTTTTATTTGTAGGAATTGTGATAAATAGATGATCAATGAATTTTAGGGTAAGTATCAAAAATAATAAAAGTTTCCCTGAAAGATATACACCCCTGTTTCCACTTTTGGCAATTGTTTTAAAATTTTTTTTAAATCCTCATGGAGTAAGGGCGATAATTTTTTGGGAAATTAGCCCCTACAATTACATACATCATGAAATTACCTTCTCTCCTCCCGCCCCCCCCCCCCCCATATCTGTTCGTGTTCAACAATAACCTGTATCAGAACTCTGTGCGTCAATATCTGGATAGTTTCTGATCTCCTCCATCTTGTGTATCTGGTATCCGGTCAGATGCTGGTATATTCGACTTTTCCTGAAATAATTAAAAGTTTTGGATTTTTGCCGAATTTTTAGAATTTGTTTTTAATAATTTCCTCTGGGCCAAAATTATGTTTATGTGGAGGCAAATTAAGACAACAAATTCAGGGGTATATATTTTCATGAAAATCGAAAATTGAACATCAAAAGCAAGTCCTTTATCATTTGTTACTTTTTACCATTTTACCCAATATCCATTCCCCCCCCCCTTAAAATCACTATTTCCCCCAGATTTAGCGAATCACATTTTAGGGTTAGGTTAGGTTAAGACAATTTCTGGACCGAGCGCTGCGGCTAGGACAGGCTAGGGGGCCGAGCACCACGGCTAGGGCAGGCTAAGGGGCCGGGCGCTGCGGCCTCGGGTTAGGTTTGTTAAGACAATTTCTGGACCGAGCGCTGCGGCTAGGACAGGCTAGGGGGCCGAGCACCACGGCTAGGGCAGGCTAAGGGGCCGGGCGCTGGGCCACATGGTCAATTATATATCCATGCCTTAGATTTGAGATCCATGTACAAAATTTATAGGAGGGGGGCGGGGGTCCAAAAATCATATACTAGGAAATTATCTAAATCTCTATATACTTAACATTTAGGAAAGGATAAGACAATTTTTGGACCAAGCGCTGCAGCTAGCACAGGTTTGGGGGGCGAACGCGACGGCCTGAACATACTGACTGGGGGCCGAGCGTTGCAGCTAGGGGTCCAGTCACTGCGGCCAAAATATTGTCTACATTTAATAGTATAATATGATCGGAGGGAAGGCAGGGGGGGCCGGGAGTCCGAAAAACGTTCTCTCAGAAATTCATTATTGTTCTTGTAGTTACCGTTGTTACCTGATTTTGTGAGCCCCAAAATATTGAAAGTAAGTCGCCAACTCCTCCTGAGTAAATATGGGGGGAAAGGGAGGAATTGTAAAACTCTGACCACTGAAATTCCTTTCTCTTCTCATCAATCCGTTCCCATCATACAGATCCTGTAGTCCAGATAAACTGGATCTATTCGACGCTGCTCCCGGAGAATTCATGTTGGCTCCGTTGATAGCAGGGTTGAATCAAGGACTGCTGGCTTTCAAGAAAAAAAATTCTTTGTTTCGCCAAAATTTATTGATTTCCATTTTATTTGTTATTGCGATTTAAACAAAGAACCCAGTTGTTATGGGTTCAAGTTTCTCTTCAGTCCAATTCATATCCTTCCGAAGAGGAATTCGTCAGAACTTATTAGATTGGCAGACATGTCTGAGTCAGGAGTCTGACTGATTGACTCTGAAGTCTGAATCTCCAATCCCGCATCCCTCGAACCCGCTGGTGCAATATTTTTCTTAAAAATGTGTGGTGAAAATAAATTTCAACATGGGCTCTGAAACTTTTCTTGAAAAAATAAATCTTGTACCTTTAAATGGCGTTTTAAAGTTTTTCATCATAAATAAATTGATTTAAAAAAAATATTTTATTGAAAAAAATGTTTCAAAAAAGATGTTTTAGGGCCCGACAATTATTGATGATCGCGGCATTCTGGAGTTCATCTGCGCTCACTGAGAATTTCTACTAAACAGCTCAGCCGAGACAAATTTGTATGCTATTGCTGTGAATTGTTTTATTTATCGTAAAAAGATAAAATGGCCTCCAATGTATTCGGAGCTAAACAGTTTAAACCTACAGCTCCAGACAAGGGTAGTTTCCCTCTAGATCATGAAGGTGAATGTAAACAATATTATTATACATATATGATCTGCTTAAAACAGAATGGAAACCAAAACTCTAAGTGCCGGGACGAGGCCAAGAACTATCTCGGATGCAGGATGGATAAAAACCTAATGGCCCGAGAGGATTGGAACAGACTGGGGTTCGAAGATGAGAAAACAAAACAATAATAAGATTCTTAATGTTAATTCTCACAGTTTTTATAGTTAAATTCATGCAGTCGTTGACAAATTAAATTCTGAATTATTTGTATTTTCAGATGATAATTAAAATGGGCGAGGGTGCCGGAACCGGATCCTTAGTGCGGCGGAATCTGCCGGGAACCAAGGCAGCGGAGTACAGCCGTTGGCGGGAAGAGACGTTTGAAGAGATGGATTCCACTCTGGCGGTCCAACAGTATATTCAGCAGACCATTCGGCGGGATCCTACAGGTTCAAACAGAATATAATCGTAATTTTAAGTGACTTAAAACATGGAAAGCGGCATGTCCGATTCACGAGTTTACCGTTTATGCTAGAAAAGTGGGTAATTTTATAATGAACAAATTTTTGGACCCCCCTCCCCCCTCCTATCAATTTTATACATGTATCTCATATTTAAAACATGGATTATGTTGGTCATGCGGACATGCAATAACCTAACCCTAACATAATACTTGTTGAAAAATGTTGAAATCTACTAATTAATTAATAGGGGGGGGGGGGGAGCCATAAACCGTTCTTTAGGACAGACGACCCGAAAAGTGTTTACTTTCCGTGTTTTTTTTCTGAAGCAAGGAATCCGCTAGTGACTTATATTGAGAAACAACAATTGAAGATACTAAATTTTCTCACGGATAAACTTTTACAGTAAATAAACAAATAGAAAGCTTTTTCTCAATATGGTCAAATTATTTGGAAGGCTTTGATTGCTGGATTGACCTTTTTGTGTTTTGTAAATATGGAAGGGAAGATAATTCTAGTCAAATTTTTAACTGCTTTCCCCTAGGAAAATACAGTATTAGATGTAATAAGGAAGAGGTTTTTTGTTTAGATATACTTAATACCAATACAATATGTTATTTAGTAGAAGTGCAGAATATTATTGCAGATGTGGATTGTATCCTGAAGGCCCCTGAGACTCAGGACGAGGGTGTATGGAAGTATGAACATCTCAGACAGTTTTGTATGGAACTAAACGGTCTGGCAGTAAAACTTCAGGTACACGAGGGTTTCTTAACGTAAATGAGGGCAGTGTTCATCTAGAATTATTCTGGTTGACCGCTCTACACCATCTACAGTTAACACCCATTACACCATAAAATGTCAATTAACAACATTTAAACACAAATCATCTGCCACAATTATTAAGACAAATAATTGTATTGCACATATTTGTTAAGATTCTAAATTTTATAATTTTGGGAAAATTGTTTATTTTTTCACACCCTATCCCCCCACCCAGAATCCCTTGAACAGGAAACTGGGGGGAGGGGGGGTGGATACAACCCTATTTTCTCTTATTTTACCAGCACAAAAATTAAACAACTTTTTATTTGAGTTAACCTTATTAATATTCCCAACTTCTTTAATTAAGTAAATAAACTCTAAAATCTGTTAAATATCCAGGCTGAGTGTCGACCTGAGGTTTGTACCCAGATGACCGCCACAGAGCAGTGGATTTTCCTTTGTGCAGCTCACAAAACACCAAAGGTAAAATTGTTTACCCCCTAGAAGGGAGGGGGTGCAGGGTCGTCATAAGCCTATAGAAATCAGAAATGACCTGCAGAGCCTCCTGATACGCAGAATACGCGAAACTGTCTCAGCGCCTCTCGCAATCTCTTTAAGCCTTCGCCATTTTGTCTCCATGCCCCGCATTTTGATCTCCAAAACTTTTTTTTTCAAAAACTCGACATGATAAAATAGTTTTTAATTGTACATAAACAATTTGTTTTAAATAGTCTATTTTAAATGAGATTAAGACTTCTATTTTTGTTTTCTAAATTCACAAATTCCTTAACTTGTTAATACTATTGCGGTTTTATATAAAGATATAAAGACTTTTGTATTGTTATTATATTAGCACCAATTCACAAAACAAAATAGTTAAACTCGAGTTTGTGGGTTTTTTGTGTGTGTACTTTGTGTAAACCTTTCCCAAGAAAACAAGTTAAGATCAATGTGAATAAATTAATATTTGAACTTTACGGATTAAACGATTCTTTAAACTATTGTGGATTCTACTATGAAGAGATATATTTTGATTTTTGGTTTGTTAACCCATAAAAGGTAAATAAAAAATAAATACCATCAAGCGGAGATCAGACTGCGTAGACTTGGAGACGTAGCAAGAGGCACGGGGACGGTTTTGCAGGGCTTGGAGGTGATTCTACGTCATTTTGCGGGGCTCATGGCGGTTCTACGCCTCATCCCTCCCCCTGTCTACTGTAGCACGACACATCTAATTAAATTCTAAGTATAGAATAAAAACAATTAATTATTATTTCATAAACCTTTGTTGGGTCTAAGCGATACAACTGAAATTAAAACGGCAGTAAAAACACAGGGTTTTGCATAGAGAAAATTATTTATAAATCAGAAAGCGTAAATGTGTGTTTTCATGAAAAAATAGACACATTTAAAAAAATTTTAAATTTAAAACAATTAATAGGACTGTCACAATCTACATTAATCTTCCCTGCATCGTTTCGTTTACTGAAATATTTAATTCTAGGATCGGCACCTAAATTATTTTGGATCAGTGATGATGTCAATTATTGAACTTAACTTATACTCCAGTATTTAGGGATTATTGTATCTTCCTGAGAAATCTTTAAAAATATGTTAAAAAACAGTAAAACAGTTCTGGAGTATGATTCTAGACACACTAGGTGGTGCTGCCTGTTATATATATATATATATACACACACTAGATAGTTTTGCTTGTTTTTATATATATATATATATATATATTTATTTATATATATATATATTTATTTATATATTGTGTAGGAGTGTCCAGCTATAGACTACACTAGACACACACTAGATGGTGCTGCTTGTCTGCTAAACAGCAACAAATATTTCCCCAGCAGAATATCCATCAAAGAGAGCAGTGTTGCTAAACTTGGTTCTGTCTGTAGACGAGTTTACAGAATATTTTCACATGCCTACTTTCATCATAGGTAATATTCAAATAGATAAAAAAAATCCCCCTCCCCACACAATGGGATATCAAGGGGGGGGGGGTCAGCAATATTGAGTTTACACCATAAACCTTTTATTTAAGTCGAATAAGGCTCGGTCGCTTAAGCTATAAAGTTTGGAAAGTAAAGGATTACTAGTGGAAAATAAATGAGTATATAGTAGACTAAGCAGTATCATTTCCAGTTGATGTTAGCTAATGTTTCAGTTTTTTCCAAAATCATTCTTAATACATTACAATACGTACAGTTTATACTTTTTTTAATCCTATTTAATTCTTTTGTATAAGTCAAAAGCAATGCTTAGGATCCGGATCCGTTGGATCTGCAAGATTTTGGCTTCCTGGATCCGGATCCGCAAAAATATGCGGATCCACGGATCCGGATCCAAGGGGTAAAATATCAACCAAAAACTGCAAAAATAAACTTTTTTACTCCTAAACCCTAGTCCCTAATATTGAATTTTTGAAAAAAATAGAGATTATTAAAATTTCCTCATTTCTGAATGGTTTATCAAGTTTAAGGAAAAAAACAGGCGAAAAAAAAAAACAAAAATTTGAAAATTATTTTTTTGTTAAAAAAATTCAGTAAATCATAAAGAATTGACCTGGATCTGGATCCGGATCCACTTCAAAATTAAATGGATCCTAAGCATTGGCCAAAAGTGTTGGTTTCCAATAGGCTCTACACTCTACATAAATTGAGACTTTCAAAATTGTATTCTCTTTAAGTTTGGCTTCTTTACACCCTGGATTATGCTGACCATCAGATTTTTCCAATAATTTGTTCATGAAAGATTGGGGTTGCTTCGTTCAGGCTTTTATATTTTTTTAGATACAACATTTTGCATTAAGATATTAATAACAAACTGAAAGAGAAGATAATATTGTAAATATGTCAGCTGTCGCAGGATTAAATTTGGGATTAGAAAGCTAAAAGATTTCAAGGGTGTAAATTTTCCAAAAAAAAATCCCTCCCCCCCCCTCCCTTTAAGAAAATTATATTTTCCGCAGAATTGGAGATAAAATAGATTCTTTTAGGAAAAATAAATGTTTTTGCCCTTTTTTCATCCCCCCATTAATCTAAGCCCAGGGGGGGGGGGAATTCCGAAAAATATAAACTCTTGAAATTTTGTTGTTTTGTGGCGTTTTTAAAAAGTTTTAATAAAACTTCCAACATTTAATTAAAGTTTGCTTTTATTAAACTTTGAACAAACCAACCTTGATCATTTTAACACTTTAGTTTTTGTATCGTTTTTAGTTAATTTGTTTGCCTACATTTTCTGATAAAGTGAAAATAATTGCATAAAGAAAAAAACAATTTGAAAAAAAAATATTTGTTTTTCTTACACTTCGTCAAATGTTGAGAGAAAATAAATAATAAAAAACAAACCTGTGACCGAATTTAATGAACTTGAGATACCTACCGCCGGATCAAATTAAAGTGAAAAGATAAAGGAAGGATTTGAATCGGTGATTCAAATATGAGCCGGTGGAAGGCAGATCAAATTCATTAAATCTGCCCCGGAACGATTCACAACACTATCTAAATTGCAGGCAAATCTTCGACCAGTTTGAAGCTGAGTCCCAGCTGTGTCGTCGGTTCACCGTGTTTGTGACGAAATATAATCTAATGTCAAAGGATAATCTGATTGTACCAATGTTGGAGCAGGATGCTAGCGCAGGAGAATCAGAAGCTTAGAATTTATATTTTATTAAATTCATTTTCTTTTATGTTTCATACAATAGTGTTGATCTCTGGGTAAACACATTTTTACAGGGGTGTATATTTTCTTTATAAATATCCCCAACCCTCCCCCCTTTAGAAAATCATTTTTTTTTCAAACAGTTACGTATGTTTGCGCGAATTTTGTTCGTGTTTTATTCCTTTAATTGGGGAAAATAGATGATTTTTATGGCAAAATGTATTTTTGGATATAAAGTATCAAAAATTATGATAAAATTTGTCATCCCCCAATCATTTTGGAGAGAAACCACAGTAAAAATGAATCAGTAATCTTTATCCTTAACATTGATCTAATTCATACTTTAAGGGTAATTTTGTGAATTGGGCATTGTCATGTTTGGATTTACTTGAAATTACGCTTTAACTTACTATAAGTTTGCAGTACATATTGTATTTGCTGGTTCAATGATGATTGTTTACTGTGAATATTTGATTTGAGTGACGACTTTAAACTCGCGCAGTACATTTGTAAAATTCTGGTTTTTATTTTTACAACTAAACTCAAATGAAAATTTAAAAAGCCAGAATCAATTTTTTTAATGCTAATACGTACTTTCATTAGGTACAAAAAGATAGTCCTAAGTTTTCAAAGTTAGAGTAAAAATGTTTTTATAGATAAATCCTGTTTTGACATAATTTTTCTACACTTTAGGGGATTGTAGTAGTAGTTTCAAGTTGCCTCAATAGTCAATATTAACGATTCAGAGCGGTACTTTATAAACCTTTGCCTCATCACAAACAAATGAGAAATTAATTTATTTATTTTTTTAAATATTATTTTTCATTGTTGTTTCTCAATAGAAGTAACTCGTGGATTTCTGCTAATAAAGAAACAATGTAGCAAATTGTCAGGATTGAACACTTTCATAGCTTGAAAATCTACAATTGCCATGGAGGGTCACTTGACATTACAACGACAGTGACTGACACCACACTTTATCATCTTAGTTTACTGAATTATATTTTCAATAAACATGGGACAACCAACCCATCCTTGTATTAGAATTACGTACCAGCACCACATGTCTAATACACGATGTAGATACCCTTAATTGTACAACACTTTAACATGCTGTAAATCTTAAAACTTCGTTATTATCATATTAGTGTACAGTGTACATTTTCAATACAGTGATTATCAGAAAATAGTGGAATGGTTGTCGTCTTTTTTTGCTTCATTTGTAATATGGAAAATGATAGGAAGCGTTCAAGAATTACAATATCCACACTTGAGTTCCAATTTTGAATTCAGACCTATTCATTCAAAGACGACAATAATTCTGCCATTAATTACTAATTATTGAACAAATGTTTTACTTGTTTCAATGTTTCCAAGATTTTGAATTTTAGAAAATAAATGTTTGAAAATCCGATTTTGACATTGAATATTGATGTTCCTAAGGAAAGTATAGAACTTTCATTTTCCTAAATGGCCTAGCCATTTGCGTTTTTTGGCCATTTCTTGGCAATTTTCAGTTAAATTTTAATTCGTCCGATCTATTTTAAGCTTCTGCATGTTCGGATACTTTTAACATTATAATTGATAGGATGTTGATCACTGATTTTTCGTCAAATATTTGAAATAAATCGGAAGATTTCGTACAAACATTCTATGAATTTTGTCCTGTTTATTGTAAGCTAGGATATCCAAGAAATATATCCGGACCCATTTCATTTTGATGCGGCTCCGTATCCTGGAGATCTTTGAATAGGATTCGGATCCAGGTAATAAGCTTCAATATTTACTACTTTTTGTAACAATTGAAAATTTTCAAAATAATGTCTTCTTTTTTCTCTTTTTTTATATTGAACCATCACAGATTAGTAAGTTTTTATTTATCTCTTATTAGTTGACAATTGAAAGCAAAAATATTAAGTTCGCATACTTTGGTTGATATTTTGCTCTTAAACATCTTTTTTTTTCGAGAGGTGGCACGGGGCCGATTTTGCTTTAAAGCTTTGAAGAACTCCCTACAGTTTCGATCATACAGGGTTACCCACAAAGGAAGAGACTTCAGAGACGACTGTACAGAATTTATATTGTCTGTTTCCTTGTATTTATGATTCCCTGCAACAGTAAACTTGTTACTTTCTTTTTTTACTCATTGATGAAGCCATAAAAAGATTATATTCAAGGCAGACGACTTAATTTAACCTCGGAATCGTCAAATTTAATAAGTTTCAGGTTGCCCTTAAAGTCTCATTCTTTGAGGGTAATCCTGTAAATAATCCTGCATCCTCAAAAAAGCAGTGAATATTTATTGTTCGCAAAGGGGGGGGGCAGTAGTCCTCTTGCCCCCCCTGGGATATTTTGGGGAAAAGGTTAAACTTAGGTGAAGTTGGTAAAAAATGAGCTTGCCCTAAAAAGAAATTTTAAAATTATTTTGGCGCTTCTCGCCATTTATTTTAATACTTAACCTTCTAATTATTTCTCTATCACATGCCACCCACCCCACTACTATTTCTCTATCACATGCCACCCACCCCACTATTATTTCTCTCATATAGCTTTATGCAGCATAAACAGTGTTTGGCACCGGGGGGGGGGCGCCATAAGATTAAATTAGGTGAGGGGGAGAATAAAGATGAGGGAGGACTTAAATTATTGTTTTTATAAGACTGCACAGAACTTCAACGAGTATAACAGAACTTTAAACAGTGGGATACTTTATGATATACTCCCAGAATGGGATTATAATATTCCAGGTCAGCAGAGGTGCTCTTGTATTGTGGATATCGAGATCAATGCTTGATCTCGATCTATTGTGAAACTGAAAATTAATGTAATCTTTATTCAATATCCCGTGGGATATTGTACCAAGTCAGGGGTTGAAAGGAGCATTGCTGAGAGATGGAAAACCCTGAAATGAAGGAAATTGATACTCCAATTATAAGTGCCAGAGTGGATATTGAGATCAAGCATTTGGAAGTATCAACAAAAGTTCCCAGCTCTAATTAAGTAAATCTTGTTAAAGTAGTTAGTCCCGCGAGGTTGCCAAATTACCACCTTTCTAACCAAAAAGTAGAATTGGTCTAGTCCAGGTGCATAATTTGGGCAGGTAGAACCCAGTACACCTTGTGTTGTGGAATCAGCTGATCAGTCGACTCCAGGCATTCAGATCTCCATAGTTTTAGTTTTCCCGCATTCTGTACAATTATATTGACAAGCTTTATGTACAGTATACAATAATAACAAAGCTCAGGTAAGAAATGTACATGTTCATTAACTGACATACATTCTTAATACTCTATCTTATCGATCTGTTCAAAAAGATCTTAAGTCATAAATCAATACAAATATTAATTTTCTTATTTTTAAGCCACGTTTATCCAACATAGAACTTTCCCCGATTCAATTCAATATTTAAAACCATCAACTTCTTTATTTCTTACAGTGGACCCATAAAGTTACGAAATAGAAAAAACGAATGTTACACTCAGTTATGATTTGATAACGTAGTCAGATGATCATGACACGCAGTAACTGAAGTGGACACATACATATTTCACGACATAAGTGGATTTTAAAGCCATCCGGCAAAACTATTTTCTTTATAGAAAAATTGCTAAAATGACGTCGTTCTATTCAACAGTTGTAAGGGTCTTTACATAAAAAACTTTAAAATAAAATAAAATAAATGTTTGTTTATTTGTAGAATGCATCTTGTGTTCGGATTTATATTCTCTTCTTTTCTTATTGGACAAACGTACTGCTGTAATGAGGTATGTATACAACTGTACATGTACTGTACTGCAAACAATTATATGAAAAATAAACCAGAAAGCCATATCTGTGTTGACTATAAAGTAAAACTTAGTTTCTGCAAGAAATAAACAAAACTCTGCCTGCTAATCACATTTCTCCCAGAAATTGTAGTACACTTTATATGTAAACAAAGATATTGGGGGGTTAAACCTGGTAGATCTTCCTTGGTGCAAACAAGATTGTGAAAACTTTAGATCATTACTGAAATATTATAATTTCAAGATATTAAGTTTCAGTTATATCTTTTTTATATGTTTTATATTTTTTAAATATTAGATATAATTTTTTTGTCAAATTTTAGTATTTTTTTTTAAATACTTCGTATAATTAGTAATTTGCAATAACTTTGTTACTTTATTTTTTTTTTTACTTTTTAAGGTTTTTAGACTTCAAAAGCTCCGCAAAAATCTTAAATTTTTAAATTGTTTTTTAAACAATTACTTTTCTTGCACTATGTATGCCATACTTCGACTTTTAGAGAAAATAAATCAGAAAAACGAAACTAAAACGAATCTAAAATGAACCTAAAACGAACTTAAAATGAACCCAAAACGAACCTAAAACGAACTTAAAATGAACCTAAAACGAATCAAAAACGATCGTTTTTTGTTGTTGATATTTTTCCGTTGTTGATATTTTTCCTTGGTTCTGCTGTTTTATTGGATACAAGCAATACACAGACAACCAAAATATATATATATATATATATATCTGCAATAAGATGTCAATCATAGGTTGACCAGCTTTAAGAGTCTGTCCTTGTTATTTAAAAATGAATGACCGATGTGAAACCTTTATCTGATCAATAATTAATGAAGAAAATATTTTCGTATTTAACTTTACAGGTTTATAAAATTTTGACAGTTACCTCCATTGTTTCTGGCGCAGAAATGAGCAAGTCACGATAGAAACCGCTATTAAAAGTATTTAATTTTTAATGAAAAAATAATGGATTTTTCCTACATTTTTTAACAGACAAAGCTGTTAATAATAATACTGTTGTGAATTGCTGTCTCAATGTAGACTGGAGAACTACACCTGAAATTACTTCTAACTCTACAGCCCCCTTTAAGCTTATTTATTTCTCTAAAATACATTAACAAGACAAATATTTCAACATTTTTTTATTTTTTGTCTTAATATTTCAATATTGTATATTGTTTCAGGCAGTATGTGCGAGTATAGTTTCTAAATGTATGCTGCTTCAATCCTGTAAATGTGAACTACAACCAGACTGCACCTGCTGCAAAAAATGTTTTGAATGTTTAGGAAAATTATTCATGCACTTAAACTAAATTTTTTTTTTTAATTTCTGCTTTCGTTTTAGGATTTCTAGCTTACTCATATCACACTAGAGTGGTATATATTTATCATAAAAAATAAGGTTTTGTTCATTAGAACTTCTTGAAATACAGTGGCAAGCGATTATATCAATACAATGTAGACTACTTCCAATTTTAATTTAAATCAAGCTGTTAAACAGCATGGATACACTTAAACATAGAATTCAAGAGAAGCTGTCAATTAAAAAAGCTTTTCTTTAATTAAAAAAGCTTGCTAACAGTCAACATTTCTTTGTCTTCATTGTATAGATATAATCACTTACCACTGTACTACTGCGGACCAATAATACTATTACCATCTGGAATCCTTTTTTTAGTTAGTCAAGATTTTGTGATTTTGAGAGGCTCCCGTAAAATCTGAAATAGACAAATTCTCAAAGGTTTATATTCTTTTTGATACTTTTTACCCCAAAATAATTTTATTTTCCAAAAAAAAAGAATTTATTTTTTTCTCCAATTCAGCGAATAAAACCATTAATAAATATTGCAATTTAAAGAGTGTTTGTATAATATCCCCTGTAGACTACCTGTACAGTGAGTGTTGTTCCTGTGTGGATATGTGCCCCAAACCAAATATAACTATTCACGAGCTCTCGAAGAAATCCCACGTGGAGGATTTAGTGGGAAACAGCCCACAGCTATTCCAGGTAGAAGATTTATACAGTGAGACCCATACAACTCTGGAATTGGAAGACGATTTTTAAGCAATCGGTATTTGATGTTGTTAAAAAAGCATAAAGTTTTACTTGTAGCTTAACACTCAATTTAGTAAGTACAAAATTCCAAAACTTGAATTTTATTTATTAAAATTTAAAAGTTTGATTGATGTTTCTTATAGAAATATGATTTTCTAAACCCTGATATTTATTATTCTATGCCCTGACTAATGAGATATTTACTGTTCTAGGCCCCGACTAATGAGATATATATTATTCTATGCCCTGACTAATGAGATATTTATAATTCTAGGCCCCGATTTAAGATATATTGATTGTTCTAGGCCCGGACTAAAGATGTTTTTATCCTGACTAATGAAATATTATTTATTCTAGGCCCCTACTAATGAGATATTTATTATTCTAGGCCCAGACTAATGAGATATTTATTATTCTATGCCCTGACTAATGAGATATTATTTATTCTAGGCCCCTACTAATGAGATATTTATTATTCTAGGTCCCGATTTAAGATATATTTATTATTCTAGGCCCTGAATAATGAGATATTTATAATTCTAGGCCCCGATTTAAGATATATTGGTTGTTCTAGGCCCTGACTAAAGATGTTTTTATCCTGACTAATGAGATATTATTTATTCTAGGCCCCCACTAATGAGATATTTATTATTCTATGCCCTGACTTATGAGATATTTACTGTTCTATATGCCCTGACTAATGAGATATTTATTATTCTATGCCCTGACTAATGAGATATTTATTATTCTAGGTCCTGACTAATGAGATATTTATTATTCTGTGCCCCGACTAATGAGATATTTATTATTCTATGCCCTGATTAATGAGATATTTATTATTCTATGCCCTGACTAATGAGATATTTATTATTCTATGCCCTGACTAATGAGATATATATTTTTCTAGGCCCCGACTAAAGATATATTTATTGTTCTAGGCTCGGCTTTATGAGATATATGAGATATTTATTATTCTAGTCCCGGCTTTAAGAGATATTTATTATTCTAGGCCCTGACGAATGAGATTGACCAATTAAACAGATGGTCTATAGTTACATTCCCCATCGACCTGCCCACCTCTTCCTCCTTCCAGCCTACCAGTAACAAGGTGGTCGTCAAGGACGCTGCCAAGGTATTATTAAAAGTTATCATTATTAAAATTAATATCATTTTTATCATTATTATCATTATTATCATTATTAACATTATTATCATTATTATTATAATTATTATCACTTATCATTTTATTATTCTAGTTTTTAATCATTAGTTTTAGTATTATCGATTATTATTATCAGAGGCGCATTTAAGACTTTTGGTAGGGGGGGGCAATATATTATTCATCATCGTTAACAGATTTTCATTATTATTATTATTATTTTAGTTTAAAGATAAAATTAAAACACTTAGAAAAAAGGAGTAAAAAAGTTAGGAACATAAAATGAACATTATTATTGTAAACGCACAAAAATCAAGTGAATAAATTGCTAAAAGCTATAAAAAAAAAACATATTTACCCTGTCCATTAACATTGCTAATATTTTCTATTGTTTCTTCAAAAAAATGTAGATAAGAATGAAAATAAATATTTTCAGGTTCTACAACAGTCCACTCTACCGGATGACAGTCACGTGACAGTAAACTGTACAGTAGCGTACATAGCTCAGTGTGTCAGCTGGAACAAATGCAAAGCTTCATGTAGATCCATGGGGGCGAGCTCGTATAGGTATAACTTTTACACAGTATCTTCAAGGGAATGTCTCACCTCCAATTAGAATGAAATCTAAATTAATATTTCTTCCATTTTCCATCAGGGTTTCTGTATGATAGTGACTTTACAGTTGAAAGAAGGACAAAAATTGACAAAAAAAAAATTTAAAAGAACATAGATATCTCCCTCATTGTTACTTAGATATTGAATTTTATTACTATTATTATTCTAGAAGATAGTTCCATTATATTGTATTCTAGATGGTTCCATTATATTGTATTCTAGATGGTTCCATTATATTGTATTCTAGATGGTTCCATTATATTGTGTTCTAGATGGTTCCATTATATTGTATTCTAGATGGTTCCATTATATTGTATTCTAGTTGGTTCCATTATATTGTATCCAAGATGGTTCCATGATATTGTATTCTAGATGGTTCCATTATATTGTATTTATTCTAGATGGTTCCATTATATTGTATTCTAGATGGTTCCATTATATTGTATTCTAGATGGTTCCATTATATTGTATTCTAAGTGGTTCAATGATATTTGTATTATAGATGGTTCCATTATATTGTATTATAGATGGTTCCATTATATTGTATTCTAGATGGTTCCATTATATTGTATTCTAGATGGTTCCATTATATTGTATTCTAGATGTATTCTAGATGGTTCCATTATATTGTATCCTAGATGGTTCCATTATATTGTATCCTAGATGGTTCCATTATATTGTATCCTAGATGGTTCCATTATATTGTATTCTAGAAGGTTACATAATATTGTATTCTAGATGGTTCCATGACGGATGTTGTGAATGTGTTGGTCAGGACTGTATTAACTATGGCATCAATCAATCAAGGTATATTAGATTAAAAATCTAGGCCATAATTTCATTGAATGACGGGTTGTCTTTTAATATGAATAATAATAATAGTGCCAAACCCAGAAATCTTTTATTGACATGAATTAAAATATAATTTCTAATAGCTAAAGGAAAGAACTTCATGGCTTTGAAGGTTGATTTGTATAAGGAATCCTTTAATTTCATAGAATATAATTCCGATAAAAATGTCATATGTATGTACTAAATGACGGGTTGTCCTTTAATAATAATAATAATAAAAATGTACATTGAACATTAATTTTAATAGATATAATTGAAAATATTATGGGTCCGGAACATGTCACCAGAACTCCTACCAATGGCAGAGCAATATTATTGTCACGTGTCTCCGTCTGTATACTGCACTGCGGGAGTTCTGGTCACGTGATACGGACGTATATTTAAAGATATTACTAAATAAACTTTAAAATTTAGAAAACATGTTATTATTAAAAATGAAACACATTGACTTTTATTCAAATGAATCTTTTGCCAAAAATTTTGTTTTAACCGTTGTATTTTTTTCCCCAAAAAATTATCTGAGAACATTCTTAAATGTCTGAACAACCCCTTAAAATTGATTGTAAAGGTCACTTCAAGTAAGTCTCCATCTATAGAGTGACATGTCCGATTCACAACGGCATCCTTAGAAGCGTTGTCTGATCACATTATTGATGCAAATAAATGTTTTAAAGAGTACTGTTGTAAATAGAGCATGCCTCTTTTTTTAATGGAAGGTCATTTGAAATCACGTCTACAGACCCTTTCATGCCCCCCTGGTTTAGGTGTACTGACTGTCCTATCCTGGAGGACGAGGACGAGTTGACGGACGAGGAGATGGAGGAGTTGGTCAATATGCCGGACTACGAGGATTTATCGGACCTCCCGACCTCGACTCATCCTAAGAAAGCAAAAACATAATTTACCAATTATCAACAATATCTTATTTCCATGTATTATACTGTAAAACAAATAAAATTTTATAAAACTGTTTGACATTTTAATACAAGGTGTTTAAATAAACATGGGTTTAAGTGCCTACATTAAAACCGTCTCTTGAAAATTTACAATTGATTATCTCTCTGATTATCTAATAATCTAAGTTTGAAATATCAAAGGTTTATAAAATCTGGTTGTAAAGACATGGATTCGTAAATTTAAGTTTGCGTCAAAGGCTTTTGAATGAAAATCGGATTTACATGTAAACTCGGAATATTACTACTGAATACTTAAGATTTGTATAAGATTTTTTAAAAGAAAAATCCTAATTTTAATAATTTAACTCGTTATCTGGTCACGTTTTTTAAACCCCACACGAGTTTACCATTTTTTAAATGTTCTTTGAAAGTTTGGTTTTATTACATTATGGTAAACTTTTATAATAAACATTCTGTTTTTTTTCCGAAATTTGTAAATCAGAAAAAATGAACGTGTTATATATAGGAGATATATTGATAAAGTCAATTTGATCAATACTTTTGTATTTTCATTTTAAGTTAAAGAATAACCATTCACAATAAATCTCTGTGCATTTACAATTAAAATGAAAAAAAAACGCAATTATTTTTTTAGATTGAGCAGGGATAAATACATATAGATTTAAGGGTAAATATTTATAAATAATATATGTAATATATGTATTCTTGAACCAGCTCACCATTGTTTTCATGTAGAAGGGGGGTAGGCAGAACATACTCAAATATGGTGCCATAAAGTTAAGATATATCCCCCTTTTCGATATTTAGTCTGGGTTAAAAAAACCGGAGCAAAGTTCGAAAAACAAAATTTAAGCAAATTATAAATTCACCTGAAAAAAATTAAGTATCCAATTAAAATTAAAAGCAAATAATGGCTCTCTCTCTAAATAATTGGATGTTTGTTGACGATCATAGACTTCTCTTCCCTGCCTCCAGAGTTTAGTAGAGGGCGGCACAGAAGTGACTCCAGAAGTTAGAAAAAATATACTGTAACTACATTTGTAAAATGAATTGTGAAACTTCAACCAAGATTATCTGTGTCCTGATGTACTCCTGTGTAGTACTTATTGTACCCCCAATCCCAAATCTCTACACATTCATCATCGACTGCTTGGCGTACACTGTCACAATCGCCGCATCGGTTTTCGTAATCTACTTTCTCAACACAAGACCCTCTTCGCAGAAGAATATTCTAAACAAAATCTTAATTCTGACGGTTGCTGCAATCATACTGAAATGTACTAGAGACATCTTGGTGTCTTTCATTGCCTGCTTCTTGACTTCGGAGCTTGCAGAATTCATAGACACAAACCCCAGGATGGTTTATCTCCTAGCCATCAGGTACTACATAATTTTGAAGCTAGGGATGGCCGTTTGGTTGTCAGCTGGAAGACTTCTACTCTTCACCAATCCAGTACTTTTTCATCGACTGAACCCAACTAGGGGAGCAATGGTGGCAGTTTTGATAACATTTAGCATTGGTTTTATCGACTTTATTTACATGTCTGTAGTGTATGGTGACAACCTAAGGAATTCAAAAATATGGTTAAACTTTATGACGGATACAGGTATTACCAACAGGAGGGTTGATAACCAAACCTCAAAACGAAACGTCACAATAGAAGAAGAAGAAAGTTCGAATTTATGCTATCAAGTTCCAACTATCCAGCTCCTCTTAGTGTGTGCCATACTGATGGAAGTGTCGCGAATTGTATATTTGACGCTTAAGGAATATAAAAAGAAAAATGCAAAAGTTGGACCTATTCCTTCTATATCAATGAAAAAACTTCCTTTGCCAGGAATCCATGATTTAAACGTTGCCATTTCTACCGTAGAACTTAGAGAAAATAAGCATTCAAGTTCGGTCAACAACTATAATTTTCAGGCACAAATTCAAGACCCTAGAAGAGCTCCTGGAAGAAGATTAACAAGTAAGCAACGATCAAAGTCTTTGCCAAGGATGTATGGATTTTACAAGGCTAAAAAAAACAAAAAATGAAAATTCGACAGCCTTCTTTCTTTTCCAGTCTGGCAGGAAGTTAAAAAGAAAGCTAAGATCAAAATCATCACTAGTATTCCAAGAACAGGATTATGTTAGAACAGACCATGAAGATAAAATGAAAACCCCCCCCCCCCCCTGTAGGATCTTTCAAGAACTTGATAAAACTAAGATCAGTGTCATCAATTGGATCAAACGAACAAACTGTAAAATCTTACAGTAATGATCAAAAAGATCAAACTAATTCCTCTTCAGTAGAAGATTCCAGGAACTTTAGAAAGTTATCTTTAGGATTGCAAGGAAAGTATGAAGACAATGAAGATCAAAAAGATCATACAAATTCCACTCCAGTAGTTTTTTCCATGAAATTGATCGGAAAACAACGATCAATGTCGTCAATAGGATTACAAGAACATGATAATGTTAAAACTAACAATGAGGATCAAAAAGATTCAAGATTCAAGATTCAAAAGCATTCCTCTCCAGTAGTTTCTACCATTAATTTGACAAGAAAATCAAGATCAATTTTGTTTGCAAAGGTTCAAGTACATAAAATCACAACAAAGAGGAAAGTTCCCGAAGATCAAATTGACTCTTGTTCAAGAGATTACAGCAGAAACTCAACAGTCAAATCTCGAAGTTTAGCATTGAAGACATCGCTGCAAATACAGGATATTGAAGCTGACAGAATAAATGTATGCAATGAACAACCTCAAGAAGTTTCTGTTAGAACCTTCCTAGAACCACACTTGCCGAAGAATGGAGTTACAAACTACAATATTGATGCAGAGGATCACATAAATACCAATTCATCAGGGATTCATTCGTTTGAATGTAAAACCATAATGAGGAACATTATTCAACAGCAATGTATGAAAACGGGAACATTAATTACTATACTTCTAGCTATAGGGCTTGTAGTGACAAACTTCATGTATTTCTTCCCCGAACTGTATAATGCGTCTCTCAGAATGTTAATTACTAGGCTTGGTACTTTTGTTGTGATAGTTCTGCTAGTTTTGTTCGATAAAGATATTATCGACTGTTTTCAACAAAAAGTTTTCGTTCATTTTTCACATCAATAATATGTAAACTATGAAAATATAAAATTGAAATATGAATAGAATATGAAAATATAAAGAATGATATTGAAAATGAGAACTTTAAGAATTCATCTGAAGGGGGTTAGAAAGAAAAAAAACATTTCCATGTCAAAAATAGTAAAAAAGACTCAATATTTCTTTCAAAAAGTTTCAATATTCTAAGATTTCGTTCAAAAAATATCAATTCTACATAGGCAACATCATTTAAACAATAAATGAAATAAAGGAACTAAATTTTTGCCACTAACTCTGATTTTCTATTCCTCATATCTTTGCAAAGCGATGTCGTAGACCTTTGATGAATTTGATTCGATCAAATAGTCTATATTTAAAATATCAAAGGTTTACATCAACATGTGCGGAGAAATAGAAAACTTTAATTTGTGGCAAAGATTTAATTCCTTTCCCAGACAATATAAAAATGTACTTTTAAGGCAATTAGAAAATGATTGATATAAATCATAAATGATATACAGGGTGTCCCACGAAACATGACAGCTGGTAAATAATTTGGAATGTCTTCTTCCCTATACTGTAATAAATAATATAGACTTTTTGCATTTTTTTCGTTCAATCAAATCTTTTACTAAAATATATTTACTTTAAAGTCAATTTTACTATAATATGACGACCATTAAATATTCTTATAATTCTATTCGGTATTAAACAATTTAAGTAATTATGGAAAAATACATTTTAAATTATTCACCAACAGTCATGTTTCGTGGGACACCCTGCAACTAGATTTTAAAGAAAAAGGAAAACATTCCAGTATAAGAGCGGAAAAGTTCTAATTATTAAAGGGAGTGTTTACGAACAATTTAAAGGGGGTATAGGCTTACGGCGAAAAATAAGCGCTTTTGGTCGACACTAATCTTACTTCTATTTGTTGCGTAAATAAGGAGAAAATTGTTAAAACGACTCATACCGAAGAACGTGTTTGGCTCTCACCTCTGATGGTAGGTAGAGATCAAATCTTGATAATATGTTTACTTTAAGACCGGATCATTTTATGATCATGAAAATGCATGACACTAGTCTGAAATTATTGTACTACAGAACAAGGTCAAAAAACCTAAAATATAAAAGCATTAGATCCGTGACGTTACAATATTTATATACCTTCCTTTAAATATCTCATCTTTAAAATTCCTGCATAAAATGTTTACATTAGATATAAGTCAGAAATTGTTCAGGTATCAAAGTTACAAGAAGTTTTTAAATATTTCTTATATTTTCCAGGTCGTCTTGATTTTTCCATCACTCCTTCAGTAGCAGTATTTGAAGAGAATTTCTCTTGTTAGTTACTCCTGTAGCTTTAATCTACTCCCGTAGCTGGCAGTAAAGAACAGAGTAACCCTTAAACATCGCCAATGGTTAACTTTGTGCATTAAAGATTTTTATAAATAGATATCACCTTAGGCTATTAATCCTGACCCCCACTTGCTCATAGTTTATACATAATGGTGAGAAACCATCTGAAAATATAGCAACTTTTTGAATTTGTATGGACGCTACGTTCTTCAGCATGAGACGTTTTTAACAATTTTATCCTTATAGACGCAATAGAGAGAAGTAAAATTAGTAGCGATCAAAAGCGCTTATTTTTCGCTGTAATCCTGTACCCCCCTTCATTTTTTGCGAACACTCTGTTTCAGTCGGTTAAAAGTTTTATTATATCTCTCCCTTAGCGTGTTGCTACGTCAAAGAAAATAGATATTTTTTAGGTCTGAGACCGACCTTTTTGTTTGTTTAAATTGTAATATACATTAGAGACCCTAAACTTATCCTTGAACCTATCCTATTCAATAAGCCTCTTCCTAAACCTATCCTGTTCACAAAACCTCTTCTTAAGCTTATCGTATTCCAATAAACCTCTCCTTGAACCTATTCTATTCACTAAACCTCTTCTTGA